GGCTAAGCATAAAATCAAGGGAATATAAAATAACTTGGGACTGTTTGTCGTCAAAATTGTGGACGGAACAAGGACACGAATAGATAGAAAGGAGAAGGTAGTTTTAGGCCTAAGAAACTTGTAAGTTATTTTAGTCAACATTTTAAAAATCTTGAATTGAACTCATAATAAATAGGACTACGGTCATATTCGAAGTTGGAAAAATCTTTTGCTTAATTAATCACCACGTCATGAATATGTATGAAGAAGTGGAGACAATTTTTCTCGACGCAATCTTTACGTTGATTTTAGATTGAGGTGAGTTGTTAGCTCCGACCGCTTTTATCTTAGGAAAACCGTCGCCTGGTTGAAATCCTACCTGATTCACTGTTCGTATCACTTCGTTGGTTTTTAACGACACCGTGTCGACTATATACGTTATATGACATAGAATGGTAGGATGATTATGAATCGGAGATTGTATTAAAAGAAGGGCTTTACATCACTCTTCCAACTTTTATCAAGATGGACGAAATATATCTGAAGATTCCTGCCGAAATTTGAAAACGGAACCTCCCCCCCCCCCTAAAAAGTAATTCTAATCACTGCACTGTAACGTTCGGTCAAAATTAAATCTATTTCTTATCAATCGACGCTATATAAAATTTACAGTCGATACAACTTCGTAAATTAATAAAAGATTCTAAGCAACTAAAACTGTTATAGGCACTATATTCATTTCTATATGCCAAGGTTAGTACAAGTCTATGACTTAGTCGGTTTTTCTCCTGAAAGGTTAATTCTATTAATAATGATTTCTACTTTGCATGGGGGAGACGCGAGAGGAACAGCTTTTCCTTCCATGATGGCGCCCGCGGCTGAAGTCAGATCCAATTAGTAGCAATCGATGGCTTTCTGTTGGTTGGAGTGATTTAAAATTTGCATGGCTCTGTCTTTATACGTCGGCTACTTCGTTAGGGTAGAGGAAATATCACTTGGAACTCGACTTGATAGAATAGGAAGAGTTGTGTCGTTTCTGCGGCTTCATATCAACTGCAGTTCCTAACAAATTTCCCCGAAAGGCAATTCCAAAACGATACGAAACACAGTTATACAGTTTCCCTTACAAAATTTATAACTCACTACTAACCGAGTTGCACACGAATTGATATCGTTCATTATCTGATATGGTTCAACTGACCTCATAGAACAGACTCCGAGAGCAGACTCCGAGGAACTTGTTGTTGAAGAACTGTCCTGCCGCGAGTGCTACATGTCCCGATCATTCAATCCTCCTAGATTTTACAACCCTAAACCTTGCTTAATAAATTACGTGCAGATATTCGAAGCTGATACCACCCGAGAAAACAAAAGCGTACATTATTGCCACCAAATAGATTTTCTTCTGTGTAAGACTTGAGGTTCTCACAGCGGTGAGTATGAAGATTTCCGCTCTGATGACGGAGGCAGTATGACCTCTGAAACGTTGGTAAACATCGGCCAGACTACACAGCGCAACAACCCAGAAGACAGTAATCTTCATACTCATCGTCCTGATGACGGAGGCAGTATGACCTCTGAAACGTTGGTAAACATCGGCCAGACTACACAGCGCAACAACCCAGAAGACAGTAATCTTCATACTCATCGTCCTGATGACGGAGGCAGTATGACCTCTGAAACGTTGGTAAACATCGGCCAGACTACACAGCGCAACAACCCAGAAGACAGTAATCTTCATACTCATCGTCCTGATGACGGAGGCAGTATGACCTCTGAAACGTTGGTAAACATCGGCCAGACTACACAGCGCAACAACCCAGAAGACGGAAATCTTCAGATTTTCTTCTGTTCGAAGGATTAACTTCGTGCATTTTAATCCTAATTTCGTGCTAACTTCATACTTTAGATTACGAAGACACGCCGGGTAAGGTGATCAAACCAAAATGTTTCGAGCTTCGTCAAGAAGTTCACATTCAGTTTGATAAAAACAACGTATTTATAAAAGTTGCTTATTTTTAAAAGATCTGATACTTTGGACCTCCTTTTATCTCTGCGTTTGTTTCCCTATCAATAACCTCACGTCGTATTCTCACGTAAGTACTTGTGTGCGTCTATCTCCATCCAGGGAAGGGGTGATTGATATCGCACTGACGTGCTTAGCGTTTGAACTGCAGGGGAGGTCAACGTATAACTCTATACGCCTAATTTGCATTCCGAGTTGTATTTTGCTGTGTTCTGTTATTTCTGTGCAGTGTATTTTATGTAAACGAAGTAAGTACGCTTTATTTTATTTGTTTATTTATTTAAGTATTTAATGCCCAAATGTACGTTGTATTCCGATACTGTTTTCTGTAGCGCTGATAGGAATAATTGCACTGTGAGCACACACCACCATTTTCAAACTCCTAGATGAAAAACACACAAATATCGTCTAAATTCGTTTCTGTTCGTCTAAATGTTTCACGTCCTGCTTTAGTCAACGCGTTCGGAAGAAGTTTAAAATTATAAGCTAATAGTTGTTGAAAGTTTGCCGTTGGAATTTTGTTTTGTTTTGTGTCGGTAAAAATTTTTTTTCCTGATTTTGACTGGATGTCAGACTTTACCGTTCATCGTCAAATCAAAGGCCAAGGACAAGGAAAATACATGTACAACTGTACTACTCAGAAATAAGCAACTGCAATGAATTATTCAGTATGTAAGCCTCAACGGAGAAGAAAAATATTGAGCTACAAAAACAGATGTACTTTAATAAGTAAATTATATACACGTGATTAATAGCAGTTTATTCTGTGGTAAAGATTATATTGTAAAAATTATCAGGACATTCTATGATAATTAAAACAACGCAATATTGGTGTTAAGATTACTATAAATATTTCAATTTATATTAAAAATATTTCCTTTTAAGCTCTTTTTTTATATTTAAAATCGTTGTTACGTTCAGTTCAAGTGTCAACATATATATTATAGGTCTATTTATTTAGCCTAAATTATGTAGGCCAACGTGACTTTGAAATCAGTACTTGCTAGCCATCATAGGCGTGTGTGAATGCCGAAAATATCTCGGAACCCTTAAAAGATCCAGTCTCGTCTACGTCTTTACGAATGTTGGATCGTTGTTGCATGCTCTCGTCTCTGTCGCCGGAATGACCATAGTCCTTAAAGGCCCCTAATAGCCATCTAATGATGAGGCTCATTACGCCCCGGAAATAGAAAACAAAATTAGTCTCCAGCTAGGGAAATTTCCGAGGTACAACAGCAAACAGATAAAATTGGCCTCGTTTTAAAATAAAAGAGGACGGAGTAGAATGGTTTCCCTCTTGTTTTATTGCCCGTAAAATAATTTCATTAATGGTCTATCGATAAATACGTTGAGTCACAGGCCTACACTACATCGCAACCCGACAGTCACATGAAATTACTTTAGATGATAGGATTCTAATAGCCTACGAAGGCCGATCATGAAACAAGGGCATGTGTTCTGTTGAACCAATAATAAAAAGTCGTGTCTTCTGGTCCGAATGTTTCAATTCCTATAATATTCAACCACTTCTAAAGAAATTTCGTATCACAAAACTGGAGCTGTTAAATTTCGCCGTTCGAATTTATTTTTAGGTCCGTGAAAAATCTCCTAATTTCAGCTGTTATTCTGTATGGGCATCAAACTTGACATTTCACCCTCGGGGTTGTAGTCGAATCAGGTTCCACAGTCCATAGGTTGTAGGAGTGGCGAAGTAAAATGGGCAACATTTCATAATGTTTACGTTTGTAGGTTCACGTAGGCGTACAGCACTCTTAACCACACATCTGGTCTACTAGAGTATTGAAAGCAAGTTAAAAGTAAAGAATTAAGCAACAAATAATTATGAGGTTTACACGACGTATTTTTATTTATACATTTCACTGGTTTTGGGTTAAAATATCGGCCCATGAATGCAAAAATATTCTGAGCCCGCAGTCTCAGTATTTAATTAGGTTATGACCGCTTCCTTCCACATCCTTTCCAATTCATTATTATTTAATTATCATATCGACGCTAGCCTGAGCTGCTGTCAAGTAGAATAAACAATAAACACAAATAATCGGTACTAGTAATTCACAGGTTGCACATCTGTTTGGGACTTCTTAAAGATCAACAATTGTCTTGGCAGAGGGGTTGGCAGAGGGGTTGGCACTCCTGAACGGTTTTTGGGAGACCCTATATTAAATTGTTGGCCTGGGGACCTGTTATCCTGACTGAGAGGTGTCCTGTTTTCCTACGTTCTTCCAGATACATGCCGGGATAGTAAGCTTGCCTTAAATTAGGCCAAGGCCGTTTCCTTTAATATCCTTTCCAGTTCATTTGTATAAATCATCCTATCATCTGACACTATACAGGTTAGTCTGAACTTCTTATAACGTCGTTAAACAAACCAAAATAAAAGATATGGCTGCGAATCACATTCTAACTTTCTGAAAACATTTTGTGCATTTTACTGGACATCGGGTAAGTCTAACTCACAAGTTACACCAACATTTATGACGTAATACTTAGGCAGATACACCGTTCCTGCACGTAGTGGCTGAAATTAGTCTGGAAATGTAATGGTCTTAACGCGGACCGAATTTCAGATACTTTTTCTTATTTTCTACAACACTTGACTTAATAGATTTCGTAGAAACAGAAAGATGGCTTCCTTTTCCCCTCCATTAAGGAAAGAAATATAGCAGGCAGCAAGAAAAAGAAAAGTACAGTAGAAAAGGAGGCATAATTAATTCTCTGTATAATCCGACAGAGCGGCGCTGCCATCGTATGAAAACCTTGCTACAACAAAGTTAAGTGTGTTTCAATTTGTGTGCTTCTCCTGATGACATCAAGATTTGACCAATGAGATTTGAAGAGAGGCGGGATTGCGTTGAGAAATGGTCTACTCTGATTGGTCAGTGTGTGCCTGGTTAGTGTTGGTGGAGGGGAACAATCCCCTCAACGTACCGACGGTTTGGCCCGCCCTGCGTGTGTTCAGAGCAGGGGAGAAAGTTCTCGGAGTCATTCAAGGAACGGGGTTGCGACGGACTGCGAGTGTGATATCGGGGTCACGGTGCTCAGGCAACGCTACATCAGAACTCTGTGCTGGTGACCAAGTGTGCCAATCTGTGAAACTGTGCGCGAACTAGACACAAGCGGTAGCCTAAAACACGTGTGACATGCACACACACGAATGGCTCTGCGGAAAGAACTTCAGAACAGAAGTTAAGCAAAATTAATTGGTATTATAATTGTGCCAGATGAAGGTTTTTTCTTAACTGAAACCTGTGTAGTCTTTAAAAATTAAACAAGAAAGAATGAAGAGAATATTTGAATGACGTAATTTGAAACATAGGAAAGATTTATAGAAGAAAGTTAAATAAATTTAATCCAATTTTGTAATTTATATTGAGGGAAATGTGTTATAAGGAAGACAGCGACTAACATAAATAACAATAGGCTTCTTGTCAACTAAAGTGAATTTACATGTATTTGTGCAATGACGAACAGCAAATCAAAATTCAAATACACGAAGTGTTGGAATTCTACTTCACTCGCTGAGCTTATTCGTGTAGCCAAAGTGAATTGATCACTTCGGCAAGTCCTTTTAACCTCTTCCCTGTGGAGGACATCCAAAAAAAAAATACCTAGCGTTTTAGTGTTAGATCGTATAAGGTGTGAATCCAGACTCTGATAATCGATGGTACTAGTCATTTAAAATGCCACGTCTCTAGCATTCTGAAACAAACTGGTCACTGTATAATCCTTCATCCTGGTTTGGCCGAGCATAAGAAATAACGAGTCCATCAGAACAGGAAAGATGCGGAAGTAGAGACTTGGGGGCTTATGAACGAGTTATGGAGCTACACAGAGAGATGATGGCGGACGAAGAAGATGACCAGGAGATCAACGTGGACACCGACAGTCGGTGCAGTGCCACGGCAGACGAGGAGAGTGGCACCAGCAGCTTCGTGGACGGCGTCCGAAGCTGCAGCGCTACCGGAAGTGATGGAGGTGGTTCTCTAATGAGTCCTGTGTCCGAGCACAACCGCCAAGACGCCTCGCCCCCAAACACCTGTCATCATCTGCACCAGAGGAGACTGGAGGACGACGGGAGGGGTGTGACGCCTTCGCCGCCTCTCAGCAGGGCGTCGTCGGCCGGACACGCGCTCCCGTTCAGTATATCACGCCTTCTTGGCGCGGACTTTGAGGCAAACAACAGTAGCCGACCTAGTGGGATCTCTGCAGTCGCAGCGGAAAAAGGCGCTTCGACTTTATTGCTGCATCCTCAAGGACATGGCCTCTCGCAACATGAAGCAATCACATCTTTGTACTCTCATCCGGCTATTGTGCAGTTCAGTGGTACGACAACTTCTGGTGTACGGACAAGTACTTCCAGTGGTTTGTGTCCGGTGTCTGCAGGCCTACCAACCGCAGCCCTTGCGGCCGCGGGACTGGTTTACAATACAGCTGCAGGGGTTATTCGTGTGCCGGCTCACAGGCCACCTCCACCAGCGCCTTTAGGGGGCCCTGCTGGGGCCGGGAGTCCCGCAGTCCCGGCTCTAGCGGCCCCGTTTCCGTGGCTAGCAGCGGCCTCCATGGATCCGACGTCGCTGCAGAGGAGCGCGGCAGCTGCAGCCTTCGCGTCCCAGGTCGTCAAGGAGCGCCTCACAGGTAGGCACATTGTCAAGGCTGTCTTCTGGGATGTTGATTTGAAACGCCAGACAACTCGACGCTGCAACCTAGAAAACATATCTTCTTTGTGTAGGTCGATTACCCTTGATGATCCACTCTACTGCGTTCTGTCTCGCTTCTGGTTTTTTTTTTCTTGTGGACGACGGACGTTAATTCTGACAGCTATGGTACGCCCCTCCCTTTCGTAGGTCTGTAGGCCTGGATGAGTTAGTGCTCTGAAAATTAGGCCTATTACATGAACGTTGAATCAGCTGTTGAACAACATACGTATGTAGGCCTCAAGTCGATGTTCTTGGGTAGCATTTCTGTTGTGTTATAGCCAACTTCGGTAGGGTCGTCCTTTTAATAGCAGCTTGCTGGCTTAATAAAACCGAAATATATCGCTACAAGCAGCATAATATAAAGAACATCATTGACATTTGTGTCTTAACTGACTGACAATAAGTTTAAGGGACGTATAATGGACGTGGAGATAGTCAGTCCTAAGCTCCACTACTTTTCGATAGTTATACATTTTTATTGTCTTAATTGTGTCAAGCTGTATGTTAAAACATAATCACCCAATAGTGCCTATTGGGAAACACGCTTTGTTAATATAATCTTCAGTATTTATCACAGTGAGAAATTGTCCAGCCAATTAAAACTACCAGGCCTATGCGTTTTACTGATGAATAGCTTACTTGAATTGATGCATGCGAATAGTATCAGTAACTGGCTATAGGTTGGAACTAATAAAATTTGATTGGGCTAAGCCTTTTGGTTTCTTAAGTTAAAATTGACTTTTATCTTACCACTGAGTGCATATAATATTAAATGAGTTTTACAGGGGCTGTTCTTTTAATCAGAACTTCAGCCTAAAATATGCACTAATTTCATTAGGTCTTCGTTATTTTTGGTCCAGTTTACGAAACTCATTACTGAATCCCGATCTGAACACCAGCATTGTGAAAAATTTTCCTTTTTTTTTTAAGTGTTCCTCATAGTTAATGCCTCACAATATTTTGAAACAGACCAAAACCGCTTCTCCACCCTCATTCTAGCCCATTGTGTATAATCAGCTTATCGTTCAACACTAAATAACTGCAACAACTGTTACGAAGTCGTTAGATAACTTTCGAAACTACAAAACTGTCATAAACTTAACTAGCATTATGCCCAAGCCTCAAAAACTGAATCACGCAGGTTTTTTGGCTACCGCAAACGTTTATTGAGAGATGTCGCCTTGCACAGTAGCACATCGTTTGTTATAACTTGTTCACTTTCTCAACAGAAAATAAATAAATAAATAAAACGTTCGAGCTATAAACACCGTAGTTCTTATGAACATAACATAAGCAGGGCTATGTGCACAAGGTTCAAGATTCTTGGTTCAAACCCCGAAATGCCCGAAATTACATCCGAATTTATTTTTAGACTTGATGCGGTTGGACGAGGGAACTTCTGGAAAACAAATAGCTAGTGTTAGCAGCAAAGTTTTATATTTAAATGCATGTGCAGTTGGAACTTTCACAACGACAGCTTATGTCAGATAACGGGCTCTTCTAATTGTAAGGCACACATCGCTGTACTCAGAAACTGCGATTTGCAACTGAATGGACACATCAGCTTCTGGTCTATGTGTGTGCTGTTAATTTACTGAGCGAAAGCATAAAATTACCATAACGATAATCTGTATTAGACATTAGCAGAGAGTTTGGTAAACAAATAACGACGAGCTAAACTGTCATATTTAGTCTTTAAACTGAAGAAGAAAATTAACAAAATCATACTCGAATATAAACATAGCTATCAATGCCTTCAAAATGTGTCAACTTTTTAATATTTGTAAATGACAGCAATCTTAACAAAAAACAAATTACATTTATGAATAATTTAAGACCACATTCAACTCGGAGAACATTCAACATGCTATGCTAGCTGTAGGCTAACATTAATATTTAGTTCCAACATTTTATATGTATACCTAAGCCTCTATTTGACCTTATTATGCTTATTTTTTCTTATCTTGAAATAGGCTGTGATAATTTCGTTGACAAGTCATTCTGCCACTTTTAAAAACGTAAATTTATCGAGGCTAAGGGCTCTTATTTTATCATTATGCCGCATTTTATCTCATAATATATTGCTGTCACACTACACATTATT